AACTGTGCGGGGTGGCCTTCACAATTGGAAGGGAAATGCTGGTCCATTAATCATCAAACTGGGGCACAAAGAGAGGTTTGGGGGGAAAGAGGATGGATGCAAGATATATGTTTCTTCATCACCAAGCTTCAACCAGTCATCAGTCTTCTCCCATGTCCCCCATGGTCCAGGCTTGATCGCCAATACAAACCAACTTCTAAGAGCTGGAATGATAGCATTCCTTCCTCAAAGGTCCAATATGGGACAGACCTAGCTCCCAAAGTCAGTAAAAACACTTCCTCTAAAAGGAACCCTATAAAGCCCATCCACGGGACTGGCCCAGGTTTATTTTTCTTCTCTGTTCTCCGAATAGTGTTTTCTCCCTCATTTACACCCAGATGAGAAGAGGTAAAACATATGGATTCATTTAGCATGGACAACAAGTAAATTGCCAACGAGCGGCATAGCTGGGTAGAGAGAGAATGGTTTAGTGGGGACAGGAGGAAAACAGGATTACAGCCCCTTTCCAATTCATGTCTGTGTGGTGTCATGTGAACAATCTACAAGACTGACTCTTCACCAGCAGACGAATGAGAAACAGCAGCTAAAATGCCCATGCCAGAGCCTCACAAACATGCCCTATTTATATACCTTTGACAGAAAAGGTCAGAGACCTCCAAGGACTGAATCCATACAGAGCATTTCTGGACAAGCCAAAGGTTCCTCTCTATCCTCACTGAATTCCAACTACATTTACTTATTCAATCCAGCGCACGCAACACTGGAAGATTATAGACTGCGCGCACACGCACGCGCGCGCACGCGTGTACACACACATAATTCATTACCTCATCCTTAGGAAACTTCCAACTTGCAAAACATCTGAGAAGATCCCATGTTAGAAAACCCATGTTCACAAGCTCCCTGGCCTGAGCACCAAGACAATGGACAAGTGGGAGAGAAGGAAAGGATAGGAGCAAGGAGCAAAGGGCAGAGAGACAAATGTGCACCGGGTGACTGACTGGTGAACAGCCTCAGGGACGCTGTCTAGGGTCAGATGCAGGAAAAAGAGAGCAGCCACAATTTAGTGAGTAAGAAACCGACTTGTGCAAGGGGTCCTTTGGGGAGAAAGATCTGGAAGCTGTGTACAGACTGCATCAGAAGAGCCAGAGGAATCGGGAGGAAAATGACACGGGAACACAGCAACAGAAGGGAGGGAGACACCGCAAAGAATGAACCCAAACTAGCATGGGGGTGCACACAGGTAATTCCAGCACTCAGGAGGCAGACAGGAGGATTGCTGCAAGTTCCAGGCCAGCCTTGGCTATAGAGATCTAGGAGGGAAGAGGAGAAAGAAGGACGGAGAGACAGAAAGGACAGACAGCAAAAACATACCTCACTAATGGCTCCGCTCTCCAGAGCCAGCCTTCCTAAACACAGATCTGATAGGCAGGCGTCTCCGGCCAGGTAAAACCCCGACCACAGAGGGCAATGTTATTTTGACGACTCCTTTTAACCTTCCAGCAGCCAAACCAGGTCACCCTTTCTGACTGCCACCAAAAGAAGTCACGTACAGTGCAACCCCAGCAAAAGCAGATTCTCCAGCCTTCTCTGGATTTTAGACATACAATTAAATTCTCTCAAACAAACTTCAGTCTCTTGTGTGAAGTAATACCTGCTTTCCCCACAAGCCTCAACTCCACCCAAGCTGGGGTCCAGACTCTCCTGGGGAGAGCGATGGGGTGCTATGAATGAACTCCATACTCTACGGCCCCCACCCCTTTGGCAGACAGGCAGCTTTCTCAAGGTGGGCTTACAGCCAACCACAGACCAATGGAGCTCCTGACCCGTCCCGCTGGTGTGCCACTCCAACCCAGATTTTTCTCAGCAAAAGGCCACGTTCTCAGCTGTCATCAGCCCGAGTCTCCTCTTTTCCTGTTCCATACATGACCACATGGGGAGGGGGCACAGGAGCTGAGGGTTTTGTTTTGTTTTTTTTTTTTTTACAAAATGGTAAGCAGCATACAGCCTAGAGCTGGTCACTGCTGGGCTTAGCAACACTCACAGCTTAAGTCAGGGATTCCAAAGTGTCCTTGGACAGGGCTGTCCCTGAGAAATGTGGTCCCTCAGAAGCTCTTTTCGGCTTTTTGGTAGAAGATATGGAGGTGCAGAAGATGGGAAGAAACGTGTCAGGTGGCACAAAAGAAGAGAAGTGGAAACCTTATTTTATCTCATCATCAAATTTCTCCCTGGATTTATGGACTCAGCTAATCATGTCCTTACGTGGGTACCTTCTTGGCTAGGGAAAACTGCTACAGCAGTAGTGAAGGCATCACCAAGCACAGTGGGGGTGTGTGTAGGGGGGTGGGGTCCCTTAGTCCCAATCCAAGTAGTCAGTCGTCGGTGCTCTTAAGACTACCGACAATGGGCCACTAGGAGACATCCCAGGTGGAGTTAAACCTCTACCGGCAGGCAGACTTGATGAAAGCCTCTCACGGCTAGCAGGCTCTGCTCGCCTCCATGAGTCCACCAGCCGGTTCGCCACCGGCCAGGGCACTCGGTGCGCACACCCCCCCACCCCTGCCCCTCCGCCTTGGCTAAGTCGACCCCACTCTTCCCGGAGCCGCGAGGCGATCTGCGGCTAGAGCCCAGAGCCAGTGCCGCAGCTCCTCCCGGTGGACGCCCCGGCCCCCGCAGTCCCCAGGGCAGAGTCCGGCCCCGTCGCCCGCCCCTTGGGGTGGGTGCCCCGGACTCGCTCCCCTCCCCGATACCATTACCTGCGCCCGCTTGGGCGCCGCCTTTGTCCGGCCCTTCACCGCCGAGCGGGCCCCTCGGGCCCGACCTGACCCGGCCCCCGGCCCCGGAGGAGAGGCGCCGGGGCTGGCAGGGTACAACCAGGCCGGGCCTGGAGCACCAGGTCCTGCTGTCACTTGGAGGCGGTCTGACAACTTCGATTGCCCCCGCCCCACCTCGGACTCGGCCGCCGCCCCGCACGGTCCCCACAGGGCCTCCCGCGGCCCACACTCGCTGTTCGAACCGGTCCCCTTCCGTCTTCGGCGCCTCCCTTCCTCCAGCCCGACCCGATCGGGTCCACACTACCCCTCGCCCTGGCGCGGCCCCCATCCTCACCCCCCCCTCCGGCAATAGCCGGTCAGCTCCCAACCCGGGAGGGCGCCCCCCACCCCGAGAGGGCGATCCCGCGGCGACGCCCCCGGCCGCGGCCCCTTGCCTCGGGGACCGCGATGGGGGAGGGGGCGCGGCGGGGGCCTTGCCGCCCGCGCACTCGGAGGCGAGCCGGCTCCGCCGCGGCGAGGAAGCACCCCGCGTCCTCCCGCCCTCCATAGCCCGGGACGCCCGCGCCACCGCCGCCCGGCCAAGCTGCCACCCTGCGGCCGCCACCCACCCCGCCCCCGGCCTATGAGGCGGGCGCCCCCCGGGGACTGTCACCTCGAGGCGCGCCGCGCTCCCCGATGGCGGGACCGCGGCGCCGGACCCGGGGGAGGGAGGCGGCGCGCGCGGGCGGGCAGGCGGCCGCACCTGCTTCTTGTCGTCCGTCCGTCCCTTCTCGGGGCTGGCGGGGGCGGCGGCGCGGCGCGCTCGGCGGGGCGCGCTGACGGGCGGCCGGTCCTCTCCCTTTTGCTAGTCCGCCTACCTAGCTCGCTCGCCCGCCTCCCCCTTCCCCCGCCTGGATCCCGGCCCCTCGCTCACCGGGACGAGCGACGCGGACGGCGCGGCTTTGGGCGCCCGCAGGCCCCGGCCGGGCTGGAATCTGGCGGCTGGAACCCCCCGGGGGCGCTCAATTCCCGGGCTCCACGCTGCTGCGTCAGCGCCTCCTCCTGGGGGCCGGGGCCGGGCGGGCGGAGCGGGGGCCGCGGTCGGGCGGGGCCGTCGGGGGGGCGGGCGCGCCTGGCCGGGGCGGGCGGACGGCAAGGGCCGGACGGGCGGGGCAGGCGGCCGGACGGGCAGGCAGCGGGGGCCGGGCTCCGGGATCCGCTACGCCGCTCGCGGTTCCCCCACAAACTCCCCGAGAGCGGAGCCTCCGCCGCCCTCCTTCCTGCTTCCTCGTACTCAGCCAATCAGCGGCGCGCCCCTCGGCAAGCTCCTCCAATCAGCCGCCCCGCCCTGCGCTGGCCCCGCCAGCCAATCCGGCCCTCGGCTCCCCCTCCCGGTATCCAACCAATCAGAATCACGGGTCGGTCGTCCCGACGCAGGGGGCAGCACGAGGCGGCCGGGGGAGGCGGTGCGGGGAGTGGTGGGGCTTGGGGGGAGGGGTACGGTGCCAAGGGTGGTGGCGGGGGATGATTTTCTTTGCCGGCTTCTTGGGTTTTCTCCGCGTCTTCGGAGCCGGAGTCCGTATCCCATGGTGACCTGACCCTGAAGCCCCAGCCCCTCAGCTGCAGACCCCCACCCTGAGAAATCTTAGCTCGCCCCCGCCCTGACCGTCACCCTTCCACATCCCTCTTCCCTGGTAACCTCTCTAGCACCCGCTCCAGTAAACTGCGGGCCGAGGGACACCCCACCCTCCTCAGGCTGCTGCCCCCGGGGCAAAGCTTCGGGAAGACCAGCAGAAAAATCAAGCAAGAACAACACCCCCTTTCCTGCTGAAAGGGCCCCAGACTCGCGCGAAAGGGCCCCGACTGCTGAGAAGCCCCTCCCGCCCTTGCCTCATCTTTCCGACTTCCCTGCTTGCCACGTCTCCTTTCCTCCCTAGCAAGGTCGGTCCTGGCTCGGTAACCCCTCACCCGCATCTCTTTTTTTCCTCTTTCTGCCCTTCACCTACCGCCCCCCACCCGGGCTCCCAATTCGCCCTCTTTCAGAAGCCGAGTGTGGAACCCTCATCCATTTCCAGCTGACAGCAGAGCCTGGTCTGTGAGTCCTTGACACCCACACACCCTCTTCCACCACCGCGGGGAACATAGAGCTCTTCGGGGGAGGGGGAAAGGGGCGGGCAGCCCAGCAGGCGCGGCTGGACACCCTCCTTCGCGTCCCCAAGCCGGCGTAGCACCGAGGCAGACACTTACCTAGCTTCCCCATAGTCACCTTATGCTGTGGCTCCGTCTCTCACACCCACAGACGTGCTTTTCCAAGCCTGAGCACGCTCTCGGGGTCAGCTGGGTGGGTGGGCACAGCAAGCTGAGGTCATACGAAGGGGTGGGAGGTCCCTGTGAGGTGCGGGAAGGAACTGTGTCCTGGACACCTTGTAGCGCCAGAGCCAGCCCCGGACTTCACTTCAAGGAGCTGTAACGTGCACACAGTAGGTTCTTGAGAAATGCCGAGTCCACCCCTGAACAAAGCCTCATTCCCAATTCAAGCGGGGGAGGGGCGCTTTGGGAGGTAAAGGAGCAGGAGCAGAAAGGGTAGTGTCACCCGAGCCTGGGAGCAGCCGGGGAGGGGCTGGGCCCCGGAACGCCTAGGGCAGAGAAGCGCCCAGAGTGCTGAGGAAGCCTGGTTAATAAGCAGGAAAAGCCGAGCCTTAAAGAGTGGCTTAGGGGCTCCTCCTGCACTATATACGATGCCCCACCTTTCCCAGACCATGCTACTGGAGCACTGACCCAGGCAGCTTTGAAGGTAACTAGGGCTGCCAGCCCCTGTGGCTGGGTAGTAGCCTCCCTAGCAAAAAAGAAAAAAAAAAAAAAAAAAAAAAAAGACAGTTCCTTTGCCTCCAGAACTGCTCCCGGGCCCCCAGACTGCCCAGCTGGTCTACAGGACGTGGTTTACCAAAGGCCGTGCTAAACCGTGGTGCACAAACTTCTCAAAGGGCCAGATTCTCTTAGGACCACTGCCCTTACTTCTGCTTCCCACCCTTAGAGAAGGCAAAATCCCAAACCTTGGAAAGTAGGACACTGAAGGACTTCTCCCTTCTCTGAGCCTCCCAAGGCAAAGATTCCCAGCAGTCCTTCCCAACACACACAGGCCAGCTCTACTGTCTCACAAAATGAGCCCCTCTCCTCAGCCAAGTCCGTTATCATGTCTCATGGTAGACCTCAGTCCTCATCAGAGCGGGAGTAGAGGGCACCTGTGACCGCCGAAGCTTCCGAAGGTTCTGAAGCAGGAGAGGGGATAAGGCGGCCTCTGACACAGCTGCTTTATCTCTGATAATGGGGGGATTGGGACTGTGAATCAGGAAAGGAATGTTACTGGTCACAGGGAGGGAGCCTCAAGTAGCAGGCCACTTTCAGCCTGGGAACTGACAGAGCATTGCTGGAGTGGACTTCTCCCTGGCACCTCGGGCAAAACCCTTGTGATCCTGGTACAAGAGGGAAGAGGTGACATATTTGGGACCCAAGTAGGAAGAGAGAATCCTGACTTTGGAGGAGGCAGAGCCCCCAGGAGCTACTTAGACTGCCCAGCCTGCTCCACAGCCAAAGGAACTGTCCTCAGAGCTTTCCCTCTGGCTGGCTGGCTCCTTTGCCCGAGGAGGCTCAGGCTCAGTGGGCTCATGACTGGGGGCTGTGGGGGGATTGTAGCACAGGCTTGCTAAGGTTAGCACTTGATGTTCCTCCTTTAGCAGCCCATTGATTTCCTGGGTCCCCTTCTCTCTTGCTTTTTAAAGCTGGTCAACAAGCCAGCTAAGAGGAGGCCGGGTTATTATACAGGTTGCTTGTACCCCAAAGGGTACTTTCTGGCCTCCTGTCCTCTTGGACTCCATTTGCAGGAACCTCTACATCTGGACCATCTTCCTTCCCAATCCAGAGCCTTTCTCTCCACTTCAGGAAAAGGCCCCAGCTCCCATAGTTTCTCCAGCCTTTCTTTAGAGCATGCTGCCCCTCCACCAGAACAGCTGTGCCAGTGCCTGGGGGCTGTCACCTTTCCCCTCTTTGGCCAAAGAAGGGTTTGTCACTTGGTCTGGAAAGAGGAATGGATCCATCAGGTCTCCAGAACTACCACCCCCACCCCCGCCCCCGCCCCTACCCCCGCCCCCAGCAGAGGCTTGCTCTCTACCTAGGCACCCCCAGACCCTTCAGTAAGGAAGGGTTAGCTGCCTCGGAGCAGGAGAGCCTCGGAGATGGATGCCTGGAGGAGAACATCCAGGGTCACAGAGAACATGCTGCACACCCCTCCCCCACCAAGTACAACCAGACTGACAGCAGGGACAGACTGGCTGCTCTGTCATCCCCAGTTCAGCCGCGAGGCACCTCCCCCCAACTGCCGCTGCAGTCCCAGCAGACCGCCTGCCCTAAGATCCAGCCACCTGGTACGGGCAGGGCACCCAAGCCCGCAGCGCAGTTTCTGTGAAGGTGGCACTGACCACTTTCACCTGCCTCGATGTTATGTCCAGGTCTCTTCCGGTGTGGGCAGGCAGCCCTCCCCTGCCTCTCCTCAGAGCCTCCAAAATTCAGGTCCCAGAACACTGAGCAACCTGGCCCCTAATCTCCACTGGACAAGATGAAGGACTGGCTGTCTCGTGGAGGGACACCTTGGCATGGATTAAATTCGATGCCAACACTTGCCCCTTTCCCCCGTCAAATGAAGCCCCCAGAGGTGGGGAAATAAAGCTGGTCTTTCATAGTCCTTTTGCTGAGACCCCGCTCCCTCTTAAAGGGATCAGAACACCCCTCCTTAAAGGGACCTCCGGAAATTATTTGCCCCCCAGGCAAAGCCAAGTGTAGAACTCTGGTTATTACCTGCTGTGGCCTCTTTTCCCTAGGGATGGGAGAGTCAGAAGTACTCCCTTTCTAACTAAGCCGGAGGGGATGGGCCCCCTCCTGCCACCAAGAAGCCAGTTGTTGAGTGCCCATCAAAGAAGAGGATCGTTTCTCTTCCCTAAGGACACCTATTGCCACAGGCTGGGTCCGGGGGATCAGGGTGAAGTGGGGGGTCTGTGTGGGACCAGTCTTAACACAAGCCGCATGCGCTCAGACTTTGGGGACCGCATGCCATGGTGCGGTGTCCAAAACCCCCATCTGTCCAGCGCTAGCCTCCAGATTGCTAGCCAGGGAGGTCTTTGCAGCTGCCCCTCCCAGCGAAAGCTGTTTCTGCATTCTCCTTCCCTTTGACACTGGACTTCTACCCTCGTTGGGTCCCCTGGCCTTCTCTTTAAGCGGCATTCTCTACCCTTCACCCGAGTTGCCTCCCAGCAATGCCAACAACTGCTGCTTACACCTATTTCAGGCTCCTTCCTCCCCTCGTCGGCGTCCCTGGGGTCCGCCTGCACCCCCACCCGTCAAGGGATGTGGGGGGGATGGGCACACCTCGGCTCCCTAGAGCGCCGCAAAGCGGCATCTTCTTTCTACCGCCCTCTTAGGCACCTAGGTTCATCCAGCCCTTAAGGGTAGGTTGGGGGGCTGGGGGGGTGGGAGGGTATAAATGGCGGAGAGGGCCCCGAGGGCACTTCAGCCGGAGAGGGACAGTCACAAGTCACATACACTAAAGCCACCTCTTCTGCATTCTCCCTTCGCCGATGGAGGGTCGACACTGCTGGGGGAGGGCTCTCCTGACCCTTGGGAGCCCTCCAAGGCCCCCACCCTTGCCACCCCCAGGAGGAAAGACTCCCCCCAGGGGCTGGAGTAGTGAGCCCCCCTCCCCCCGTAGCTGCGGCAGCCTCCGGCTGAGGTCAGGCTCCACCTCCTTTCTCCGGATGGAGAGAGCCGAGGGTTGTTTGTTGTTGGGGTGTGTGATAGAGAAGGTTCGAGATCACCTGGCTGGGTGGGCACGCCTCTGGGAGTCGGAGCTGAGCTGGGTGGGCTGGGTTAGGCAGGAGTCTGCCCTAGAGGGCGAAGTACTAACCTACCCCCGCCCCCATCCCAAGGTTCGGGCTGGGCAGCCAGGTCGGCGGCTTGGGTTCTGCACCGGTCCGCGTCCCCCTCCCCCCCCCCCCCCCCCCCCCCGGCTGCGCTCCATCCCTTAGGAAGTGACCAGAACGTCCCAAGGCAGAGGCCAGTCGGAGAGTGACTTCCTACTTTCAAGATGCTTCCACCAGTCCGGCACCCGGATGGGTTGTGGGTAGAGGGAGGAGACTGAAAACTAACTTTCTGTGAACATCGTGTAATGGCTGCTGGGGAGGGGCAGGTGCCAGGGTCTGTTCCCGGGTGTGGGGCTGGGGAAAGGTGCCGGCGTTCCGACAAGAGTCCACAACCACATCGCGAGCTGATTTTGCAGAGGAGCCGACATTTTTTTTTTTGGGGGGGGGCAGACCTTCGGGAGCAGGAAAGATGAGGACACCGGCGGCAAAGGTCTCTTTTAGCAGAGGTAGGAATCTGTGAGACCCACTCAGAGTAGGACACGAAGCTGGAGAGCCTCTGGGGCCACTCAAGTTTTCTCCCCGCCACGCCCTGCCCCGAAGGCGTTGGGGACACTCTAGATCCTCCGAGGAAAAGAAACTCTGGGCCTGAGATCCGAAATGCAAACTGATGGAACTTACAAGATGCATTCACGCAGGGACAGTCGGGTTGCCCCTCGGTTTCCTCCTAGCTTAACTTTTGGGTCTCTCCTTCTTTCCCAGGTAGGAAGTAGGTGGAAAGGGTCCCTCCTCGGGCACAGACCCCTCAACGACGCTGCAACCCTAACTGCCCACCATACCCGGGAAAGATTGAGAAAGGCAAACGCTATTTCATTCTCCCCACAGAGGCAGTCAGCCTTGCTAGCCCCAGACTATTGTTTACTGGAGCACCTACTGTTTTTCAGATGCCTAACATGGAGACCAGTGCTCCCCCCACCCCCGCCTCCCGACCCCCCTTTGAGATGAGAACTCTCAAGCCATAACAGTTATAGACAGACCAGTATGGTGGCGACCACACTCCTCTAATTCCATCCTTTGGTAGGAAGTGGCAGGTCAGCCTGGTTTACATAGTGAGTTCCAGACCTGCCACGGCTACTTAGTGGGACCCTCTCTAAGAGAAAAAAAAAAGTAGTAAATGGAGAAAAGTGAGTTGGTTCCTCATTCTTACCCCAATCCCATTTGGGATACAGTTACTGTGGATGATTCACAGATGAGGAGACCCACGATTAAAACAGCAAGTGCCTGTCCCTAGTTACAGAAAGGGACTTACGAGCCCTCCTCTTGACTCTGAGGTCAGTGCTCAGCATCTACCCGGAGCCGTGTCACGCTTGCCCCAGCCCACAGCACTGCCTTCTTCCAGCTTGAAGGGCATGTCAGGGACCTGTTATCCCCTAGCCACCCCCAGCTGGTTCCCACCTCAGTCTGGGGGTCGCTGTATCTCACACGACAACATGTTGGTCTCAAGGAAACCCCATGCTCTAGCACTGCCTTTTGCAAATTCCCTGGGCACAGGTCATGCC